GACCGGGATCGCTGATCTGTTGGGGAGGGAGTGGAGTTCTCCTTACCTCTCCCCACTTCCTCCGGGGGCCCAGCACGTTCCGCTCTCAGATGTGCAGCAGTGTGGATCCCTCCGCTCTAGGTTTTCACTGTCTGGGATTCCGTTGTTGGTCTGTGACTGTTGCTTTTGTTGTATCTTGTCGGGGGAAGAGTTCACGGGAAAGCTCACTCCGCCATGATGCTGACATCACTCCTCTTCAGATATTCTTTTTGCTCCTTTGTTTCCTTTCCTGCTAAGACTCCCAGTATGCGTATGTTAGTATGCTTGATCGTGTCCCACAGGTCTCTGAGGCACTGTTAATTGTTTTTTATTTCTCTTCCTCAGACTGGATAATCTAAATTGACCTATCTTCAATTTTACTGATTCTTTTTTCCACTTGCTCAAACCTGCTGTTCAGCCTCTCTAGCAAAATTTTTTGTTTTTGTTGTTGAGGAAGGTTCACTCTGAGCTAACATCTGTTACCAGTCTTCCTCGTTTTGCTTGAGGAAGATTCGTCCTGAGCTAACATCTGTGCCAGTCTTCCACTATTTTGTATGTAGGTCCCCGCCACAGCATGGCTGACGAGTGGTGTAGATCCGCCCCCGAGATCCAAACCCATGAACTCAGGCCACTGAAGTGGAATACGCCAAACTTAACCCCTAGGCCACGGGGTCAGCCCCTCCAGCAAATTTTTTTTTATTTCACTTATTGTACTTGGCAACTCCACAATTTATGTTTGGTTCTTTTTTTCCCCAAAAAATCCATTTTGTTCTTTTTTTTATTAATTTCTCTTTATTGATATTCTCAATGTGCTGAGACATTTTTCTTATGTCCTTAGTTTTTTAGCCATGGTTTCCTTTAGTCCTTTGAACATATTTAATGTAGCTGGTTTCCAGTCTTTGTCTAGTAAATTCAATATCTGGGCTTCTAGTTTCTTTTTTTGTGTGTGTGTGTGTGAGAAAGATCAGCCCTGAGCTAATATCCATGCCAATCCTCCTCTTTTTGCTGAGGAAGAGTGGCCCTGGGCTAACATCTGTGCCCATCTTCCTCCACTTTACGTGGGACCCCGCCACAGCATGGCCTGACAAGCGGTGCATCGGTGCGCACTCGGGTTCCGAACCCAGGCCGCCAGCAGCGGAGCGTGCACATTTAACTGCTACGCCATGGGGCCAGCCCCATGGGCTTCCATTTTCTTTCTTTCTTTTTTTTTTTTTGTGAGGAAGATCGGCCCTGAGCTAACATCTGCCAATCCTCCTCTTTTTGCTGAGGAAGACTGTCCCTGGGCTAACATCCGTGCCCATCTTCCTCCATTTTATATGGGACGCCACCACAGCATGGCTTACCAAGCAGTGTGTCAGTGCACGCCTAAGATCCGAACTGGCAAACCCTGGGCTGCCGCAGCGGAGGGCATGCACTTAACTGCTTGTGCCACCAGACCGGCCTCTTCCAGTTTCTATTGATTGCTTTTTTTTGCCCTCTGTATGTGCCATACTTTGTTCTTTTCGTATCTCATAATATTTTGTTGAAAATTGAATGTTTAGATAATGTGGCAACAAGATTTTTTTGTTGCTGTTTGTTATAATTGTTTCCTTGCTTAGTGACTTTCTGACCTAATTTTGTAGTGTCTATATTGTTTGTGATGTGTGGCCAGCAAAGTCTCCACTTGATTAGCTTGATTGTCAGCTAATGATTGGACAGCGATATTTACAGCAACAAAAGAGTGAAAAACAACCCAAATGCCCCCAAATAAGGAAGTAGTTTTTAAAAAATGATTCATTATATTTATATGATGGAACATTATGCAGATACTAACATTCATACATTTGGAGACTTTTATGACCTAGGAAAATGTTTATTATATGATATAGATGGAAAAAATAGAATATAAAATACAGTATGTTCAAATTTTTGAAAATAAGTTTTATGAAGGAATAAGCATATATATACACCAAAAAAACTCCTAGAAGGAACTATATCAAAATGGTAGCATTTGTTATTTCTGAGTGATGGTTAAATTATGTGAGTAAAAAAAAATTATCTCTGTTCTGTATTATGTACCATAAGGTTGTATTAATTATTTCGTTATAAAAATAAAATGCAGTAATTAATGTGATACACTTGTATATATTACTGTTTTTTATTCATGTGAATTCAATTAAAAATTATATGGCTGTTGAGTTTTGGTGATTTAGCATAAACTCTTAAAAATATTTGAAGACATGCTATTATAAAAACATGCTAATAATAACCCTGGTATCTGGGCTGACAAAATATATATATGAGCTCTTTTAATCTTTAGAGTCTACTCTATAGAAAGAAGTTTTGTTTCACTGGGGTGTAATAGGGTGAATTATTAGGCAGATGAATAACCTGTAGTCTCATTTATTAGCGTTTCATTTTTTTCTTTTCAGGCGCATATTAAATTTCCTATTGACTACCCATATTCACCACCTACCTTCAGATTCTTGACCAAAATGTGGCACCCCAACATTTATGAGGTAAGAAACGTCTATCATGAATTTCTCTGAAGATTTATTTTTTAGGTATAATCCTTTAAAACAGCCTGTATATCTCAGTATACTGTAGTGGTTATGCTGTAGCCATAAAGAAGTATTCATGGTTTCCCACTTTCAGTTAGCAGTCTCTAGTTTAATTGTTCAAAATTGAGGATAGTTTTATAATACCAGTGTATATTACAGTTAATTTAAGATTGAGGCTTGAGACCTTTGCTGCTCATTGCTTACATTATAATGCATATGTGTTAACATTTGCATTTTTTAAATTTAGTAGATAAAGTCATACAAATTTATTTGTGTGCCTGTCCTCTAGTTTCACAGCAGGGGTCCACCTGTTGCTATGATCAGAGAGTCAGCTTTTTGGGGGGATTTATCCTACTACATTTGGACTGGCCTTCTTGCAGGAGTTGCTGCAGAGCAGTTGAGAGCCTCTTTTGGAATAAATCCAAGGTGAGGTTCTTCTACTGAACAAGTCCACATGCCTGGGGGAGTCATTTCTAGTTTTGTTGATGAAATGTACGTAGCTTTGGGCTAATCTGTAAGCATGCTAGAACAATGCATTATGTTTCTCAGGATAATTATTTCAAGGCACTCTAAAACATCCTTTGAGGTCACTCCTTTACCATTCGGTAATCTTTTTCATTGCAGTAGGGCTCTGAAGTGGTCTCATTTTATTGTAGCTGTGGCTCAAGCATTAAAATTGCCTTTTAAAAGTTGCAGCCTTAGTCATGTAGTCTTTTGTTTTGGTCTGGTGGATGTTGGGAACTGCCTTTGCTCCAGAAACAGAGCTACGTAGCCTTTAAAATGTTTGTAGGCAAGAAATTGAGAACTTACTCTAGGGTCCTGAATTTGGATCTCAGTCTGTATGAGTTAGCACACTGGAGCAGCTTTATCATTTTTCAGAACTTGCTTTTTCTGTAAGGCTTCATTTTCATTTTCTTTTCCTTCTTAAAACAGGACAAACTGGTGCTCAAAAGGTAATATGTAGTTATGCTTCCAGAAATAAGCTCTGAGATTATTGGTTTTTTTAGTTTCTTTAGTATTTAATGTAATCATAATACAAATAAAAACACTGACTACCTTGTACGTTCTCTATAACAAAGTTATCCTGTTGTAGGAAAGAGACTATAGAAATGATTCACTGTTTTGTAAGTTCAAACTGAGTTCAATACACAGAAATATATTTGTGTTCTTATTGATTTAATAATCAAAAGTTCTTGCCTTCAAAACTATGTAGTAGATATAGATTTTAGCAAGAGAGAAATGAGAAGACTTAAGCTGTCATCTTACTAATGAGAACTAGTTTACCTTAAAGCCATGTACTCACCTTTTTCCATCTCAGTCTAATTTCCAAACCCCTCTCAAAAAAGAAACAAACCAAAAACAGGATAAAGGATTCAAAGCTCTGAAGGAAGAAAGTATAGGTAGATCAACTCCCCTTTCCACTGTTTTTTTTTAGTACTTAGGTAGGCTATTTTGTTCTCTCTCTTAAGAGTTAGCATTGGAGGGGGCCGTCCCCATGGCGTAGTGGTTAAGTTTGGCGCGCTCCTCTTCGTCGGCCTGGGTTTGGTTCCTGGGTGTGGACCTATACCACTCGTCTGTCAGTGGCCATGCTGTGGCGGCAGCTCACATACAAAAAGAGGAAGATTGGCAGTGGATGTTAGCTGAAAATGACAAAAGCTTTAGTTACAGTTTTGTTAAATACATCCATATTAAATACATTACTGCAGCCCAAAAAGTTATAAATACTTCTGTGTTATATGAGTGAATTTAATTATTGTAACTAATATTTCCTTTGTCATTGCCGTGTTTGTGAAATTTATAAATATAGGGGAAACTTGGAGAACAAAAGAAATATGAACTTGTCATCAGTGGTCCTACTGCACAGTCTACTCCTTTCTGCTTCATATGTTGAGGGAGCTCAAAAATACAGTTTCCTGGTTACGTGTTACTGCATGCTCAGAAATAGACAACCAACGAACCCCATTTGTTGTGCAAACCATGTATTAAAATGAGGTTTTCACGCACACTCTCTTCACTACAAACTTCACAGCTATGGCAACCCAGAATCTCACTGTTCTTTAGTATTTATTTATTAAAAAATTTTTTTTATAATAGAATAATTTTTAGAGTGGTTTTAGGTTCACCACAAAATGGAGTGGAAAGTACACAGAAGTGTTTAATATTTGTTGGTCCTTTAAGTACTAGTGAGTTATAGAACAGCATGGAGCTTTATTGAAAAAACAAAGATTTTGGGGCCAGCCTGGTGGTGCAAGTGGTTAAGTGCGCACGCTCTGCTGCGGCGGCCCGGGATTTGCCAGTTCAGATCCCGGGCACGCACCGACGCACTGCTTGGCAAGCCATGCTGTGGCAGTATCTCATATAAAGTGGAGGAAGATGGGCACGGTTGTTAGCCCAGGGCCAGTCTTCCTCAGCAAAAAAAGAGGAAGATTGGCAAATGTTAGCACTGGCCTGATCTCCTCACAAAAAAAAACAAAACAAAAAAACACAAAGATTTTGGATGTTTTTTGAAGGAGTATACAGATTGTTTTTCCTGTACCGTGCTCACAGATAAATGTCACCAATGCAGTCATGAAATAAAGGTTACAGTATGATGGTGTATGTTAGGCTCCTTGGTAGCCGATATAAAAATATTTTATTATTTCCCTTGAGGTTCTAGTTCTGAGTTCTTGTTTCTAGACCCAGATGATTCTCAAAACATTATACTAATCTCTATAGCTACCAACACTGTAAGGATGTAACAATTTGGCTACTATTCCACTATCATTAGGGCATGGTGTTTTTAAATGTTACTGTTTTAATAATGATTAAAAATAGACTTGACTGGTTTTGTTTTGTTTTGTTTTTGCTGAGGAAGATTTGCTCTGAGCTAACATCTGTGCCAATCTTCCTCTCTTTTGTATGTGGGTTGCTGCCACAGCATGGCTGACGAGTGGTGTAGGTCCACTCCCGGGATCTGAACCCACGAACCTGGGTCGCCAAGGCAGAGCGTGCTGAACTTTTAACCACTATGCCATGGGGCCAGCCCCAGACTCTACTGTTTTAATATGCTTTTCCTAAGACATGTTTTCTTAGCTCGGGCAGCCATAACAAAATACCATAGACAGGGTGGCTTAAATAACAGAAATTTATTTTCTCACGGTTCGGGAAGCTGGAAGTCCAAGGTCAAGGTGCCAGCATGGTGGTATCTGGTGAAGACTCTCTTCCTGGCTTATCTCTGCGTCCTCATGTGACTTAAGGAGACAGAGAGCTAGCTACCTCTCTGGTTTATCTTGAAAGATTTTTGCCAAGTCTGTAGAACCATTGCCTTTTGGAATAATAAAATTTAGGCTATGTAAGTGGTGAATGGGCCTGATTACACATGTTTATGATCTTTGTAATTATTTAGGTGGATGATAGGCTATTAGGAGTAAAATTGATGAGACCCATAATCAACTTTTCAAAAACTGAAAGAACTGGATGTATCAAGAGGTCTTTTACAATAAAGCTGTAATTATAAATTATATTTTAACATTACACAGAAAAGACCAGATAAAAGCAAGGATACTGTATTAGTCGGGGTTCTCCAGAGAAACAGAACCAATAGGATATTTAGTGATATGAGTAATAGAAGATTTATTATAGGAATTGGCTCACATGGTTCTGAAGTCTGAGAAATCCCACAGTCTGCCCTCTGCAAGCTGTAGAACCAGGAAAGCCAAGAGTATAATTCAGTCCAAATCCAAAAGCATGAGAACCAGGGAGCTGCTAGGTAAGTCTCAGAGTCCCAAGGCCCAAGCTCAAGAAGAGAGAGAGAATTTGCCTGTCCTCCGCCTTTTTGTTCTCTTTTTTGGGCCCTCAGCGGATTAGATGATGCATGCCACATTGGTGAGGGCAGATCTTCTTTACTCAGTCTACTGATTCAAATACTAATCTCTTCCAGAAGCAGCCTCACAGACATACCCTGAAATAATGTTTTAACAGCTACCTGAGCATCTATTAGCCCAGTCAAGTTGACTCATAAAATTAACCATCACAAATACTTATCTTTTTCTACCATTCCTCCCTTGCCATTCATATTATTGTCTTTTTATACTCTAGGTACGTCATTATGTTCACAGGGGGTGTAATTTGACTGAAAGTATGTTTGAATCCTTGAAACAGCAAGATGTTTTATAATAACTTTTTTTTTTTTTTTTTTTTAAAGATTTTATTTATTTAATTTTTCCCCCCAAAGCCCCAGTAGATAGTTGTATGTCATAGCTGCACATCCTTCTAGTTGCTGTATGTGGGACTCGGCCTCAGGATGGACGGAGAAGTGGTGCCTCGATGCGCACCCGGGATCCGAACCCGGGCCACCAGCATTGCAGCGCGCGCACTTAACCACCAAGCCACAGGGCCGGCCCTATAATAACTTCTTCCCTTCTTATTTGATAACAGTAAAATTATTTTTAGATAATAAAACAAATGGTAGCTCAGCTGGTTCTGCTTTATCTCCTTTGATCATTTAACGTACATTTCTTTCTCTGATTATGTTATTCTTTTCTCTGTTGAGTGGAATTATCTCATAGAGCTTCTATGGTATTTCTGTGATTTGCTGAGAGTTTATTTTAATGATTATTCCACCAAGGCATCAAATAATGAACCAAAGATATCCTATTAGAATTGATTACAAATGAAGTTGTAATATGGCATTCTCTGATGATCTTTCAAGACTAGGACAGACTGCTTAAATTCATTATTCTTAAACTCATTTCATGTAAATTTTAAATATAAAATTTAAAAATTCTAAAACATTTGGAATAGTTTTTATTAAAATGCCTTGATTTCAATGTCTAGGTGTTATAAACATACTAAAAATATTAAATTTAAACCCACTTCTTTAAAAAAATTATTTTGAAATAATTTTAGACTTGAGTTTAAAAAATAGTGCAGAAAGTTCTCATTTACCTTTTAATCAGCTTCCTCCAATGTTAATCTTA